CACACACACACTCTCTCTCTCTCTCTCTCTCTCTCTCTCTCTCTCTCTCTCTCTCTCCAAAGCAAAAGCAGGAAAAAGGAAAAGAGAATGTTTGCAATGTACTGATTTGGAAATATCTTGTATTAAGGTTCTCCAAAAAGAACCAGAGGAAAGGCTAAATTGTCTCACACAGTTATTGAATTGGCTCCCACAGTTGTGGAGGCTGCCAAGTCCCAAGATCTGCAGGGTGAGTTGTAAGTTAGAGACCTGGGAAGGCCAATGATTCAGTTCCAGTCCAGTCCAAAGGCCTAAAAACCAGGATAGCTGATAGTATAATTCTCATCCATAGATTGCCAGACTTGAGCAAGAGCCAATGTTTCAATTTGAGTTTAAAGGCAGGAAAAAAGCTGATATCCAACTTCAGGAAGTAGGAATTCTCCCTTATTTGGGGGAGGGCCAGCATCTGATTGGATGAGGCCCACCCACATAAAGGATGGCAATCTTCTTTACTTATCTGTGATTTAAATGTGAATGTCAGGGGTTGGGGATTTAGCTCAGTGGCACAGCGCCTGTGCAAGGTTGTGAGTTCGGTTCCCAGTACCGGAAAACAAAACAAAGCAAAAAAAAAAAAAAAAGTGAAAGTCATCCCAAAACACACTTATAGAAACACCCAGAATAATGTTTGACCAAGTAACTAGGAACCCTGAGGCCCAATCAAGTTGACACATAAAATTAATCACACCAGATCTATAGGAGATTTTCTTAAGGAGAACATGAAGATGCAGAACAGAATATATAGTATGCCCTTTATGTAAAAAGGTGGGAAATGGTAGGATAACAGTTAAGTGTGCCTGTTTGCTTATATTTGTTCTTATTTTTTTATTTTTTAAAAATCCACCACTGGCTGGACATGGCAGTGCATGCCTGTAATTCCAGTACTTTGGAGGCTGAGGCAGGAGGATCATTGCCAGTTTGAGACCAGCCTGGGCTACAAAGTGAGCTCAAGGCCAGCCTGAACTGCATGGCAAGACCCTGTCTCAAAAAGACAAAAAAAAAAAAAAAAAAGATGGACATGGAGAAATATGACAGTGGCTATCCAAGGAGAATCTTGAGGAACAAAAGAAATGTCTAAGGAAGAGATACCCAGTTAGAATGTGTGATGTAACCCTTCTTCATATTCCCAAGAAACATCCAATAAAATTCTCCAATTGCTTTGGGGGTTTGATTTGTAGGTTTGGGGGATATGATTGTGGGTTGGAGTAGCCAAGTGTACCTGGATATCAGAAGTGGAGAAGGCTCAAGAAGCTCTAGGACCCAGCCCAGCCTCTGCCACCGAGTGGCCAATAGTTTCTTGGAGGATGACCCCAGCCACTGGACCTGTATCCCGGGTCCACTATGCTTCTGCCAGGCAGAACCATACTCTAGCTCACTGGCTGGTCCCCAAGGTCCTCCATAAGCCATTCGGAGTAGCCTACAGTTATGGTCAAGTGGATGAAATTTTCAGAGAATAGAACTCTGGAGACCGACTGGAGGCTACAAAGAAATAAGGGCGGGCTGGGTATGTAGCTTAGTGGTAGAGCACTTGCCTCAGTAAGAACAGGAGATAATGGTGTTACAGCTGTGTGTGAGGTACTAAAGGTTAGGTCAGTTGTTTGCAGAAAAATGGATGCACCTTGAGGCCATAATGTTTAGTGAAAAAATTCAGACACACAAGCTTAAATATTGCATGGTCTCTCATACTGTAAGGGCACATTTATAGAATAGCAGACTTGTAGACATATTATAGCAAAGGTTAGAAATCAATTAGAGGCCTGTGACCACAGGCTCCTGCTGCTTGTCCCCAGCTAACTTGCTAAATTCAGCTAAAGTCTTGACTGTCTGGACCCAGCTGTTCTCCTTTAATAATGTGCTGGGTCAAAACTGACTGTTTCCTTTAGTTAAAAGAATATGCATTTATTCCAATTTGCTTTAAGGATATCATGTTTGGGGAAGACTGGCCAGTCAAGGACACTTTCAACTCTACCTACTCTTCTCAGACCCCCTCACTCCCAGAATGTTCCTGTGTAATTCTGCCTGACAACATATAACATAATTCTTGTATTTCAAGGGCCTGGGGATTTAGCTCAGTGGCACAGTGCCTGCCTGGCAAGCACAAGGTCATGAGTTCGATTCCTGGTGCCAGGAAAAAAAATTCTTGTATTCCATGTAACCAATCATGTAATAACCTGCTATCAGCTTTGTACTTCCTACTTGCAAACCTTTTTTTTTTTTTGTCTTTTTGAGACAGGGTCTTGCTATGCAGTTCTGGCTGGCATTGAGCTCACTTTGTAGCCCAGGCTGACCTCGAACTCACAACAATCCTCCTGCCTCAGCCTCCCAAGTGGTGGGATTACAGGCGTGCACCACCACACCTGGCTTGCAAACCATTTTTAAACTGAACTCAAACCTGACTCTGGGCTGGTGATTTGGAACTGATTCTTATCAGCCTGCTAGCATTACATTAAAGTCACCTTCCAAAATCTCCTTGCGGAGTGTTTTCCTTTTGAATCTGGACTTTTCCTACAACAATATGAGAAACCCAAAATATAAATAAAGAGCAAAATAAAGGACAGACAATGGAAAGTAGGGAGACAGATCTTTCTCAAAGGGGAAGGGGACCACAAGATAGAGGAGGGGAAGGAGGTGAGGGAGAGGGGACAAAAAATGAAATTAAAATGTGTTATGTACATGGACCAACTGCATGCAAGGAATGTAAACATTACTTGTATGACAAACATATACTAATAAATTTAAAAATCTTTAAAAACAAAAAGGATGGATTGGGACAGGCTGAAGCCAATGTTAACCTAAGATCAGGCTAACACAAGGATGAGACTCAGACCACAGTAAGAGTAATCACTACTTTTTATTTTCATTTCTTCTTCTTCTTTTTTTTTTTTTTTT